TCACTCTAGTATAGACCGACCTCCCTTCGAGATGCTCTACGGGAGGAAGTGTAAGACCCCAATCTGTTGGGGTGAGGTCGGTTAGAGAGGCATGGGGAGTAAGAAGGTAGTACTCAAGACCACGGAACGGATTCAGCAAGTCTGGAGCAGGCTCCAGACTGCTTAGAGTCGGCAGAAGAGTTACGCCGACAAGCGGCGTTCAGACTTGGAGTTTCAGGTGGACGATATGGTCCTCCTGAAAGTGTCACCCTGGAAGGGTATTATCAGGTTTCGGAAGCGGGGCAAGCTGGGCCCCAGGTTCATTGGTCCATTTAGGGTTTTGGCCCGGGTGGGTCGGGTTGCCTATCAGTTAGATCTTCCAGCAGAGCTCAGCCAGATCCACAGCACGTTCCATGTTTCTTAGTTGCGGATATGCTTAGTGGATGATTTAGCAGTGGCACCCTTTGAGGATATTCAGGTCGACGATAGCCTGAACTACATCGAGAGACCCGTGGCGATTTTAGATCTCAAGACGAAAGAGCTGAGGAACAAGAAGGTAGAGTTAGTGAAGGTGCAGTGGCAGCACCTCAAGGGTTCGGAGTGGACGTGGGAGCCCGAGGAGGAAATGAGGGAGCACCACCCAGAGTTGTTTTCAGAGACAGAAGACTTTGAGGACGAAGTCTGAGACAAGTGAGGGAGAATTGTAACACCCGGTCTCAGGTACGCATTTAAATTCAATCTAAACTTCATATTTTACCCTTGGACTCGGCGAGTTGGATCGACTCCGAGTAGGATCGACTCCGAGTCGGGGGGGGACTAAGTGACCTACTCGACGAGTCGGAAGACCGACTCGGCGAGTACGAGCCGCCTGAGTGAAACCCTAAATTGGAGGGTTTGCACCCTATTTAAACATCTTATGAGGCTTCCATTGAAGTTCTGTCGTCGAAACCCTAATCAATTGTGAGCATTCTTGAGCAATTTGTGCCTTTCCTAGTGATTTAAAGTTAGAAGAAGGAAGGGAAAGCTTGGTGAGTCAAGAAGCAAGTCAGTGGATCCAGAGTTGTGGTTGCACTTCCAGTTATTTGAGGTAAAGAGCTCCTACCATTGACTCCTTATTTGGTAGATCTACTTTGAGGCTTGAACATTGACATCGTTGGGGGCATTTCCAAGCCATTTCGAATTGTAGAGTGTAATATAGGGTAAATGTTTCAGATCTGGAACCTTGGAGGGTTCTCATGGCATAAAGGTGCCAACTTTGTGGCCATGAGAACCCCATGCATGTAAGAAACCCTATTTTTGGTCTTTTGAGCTTAAAGGTCCCATGCATGAACGTAAATTTCATGACTTTACGTGTTATATCGACCTTAGGAGCCCAGATCTACCCCTTGGATGAGATTAGCACAACAGAAATCGAGTAATGGGCATGGACATTAGTTGACTCGACGAGTCGTTCTTGGGACTCGGAGAGTCGGGAGGTTTGGTTCCCCAACCTTTTCTGATTCGAAGGGATTTGGTTGAGTCTAGAAGGGATCTAGATGAGTCCAGAAGGGGGATTCAACAAAATAGGCGTAGTTATGGACCTGGAAACGATGGGACTCGGCAAGTATATGAACACACTCGGCGAGTCCAAGGAAATCTCCCAACCATGAAGACAGACTCGACAAGTTGTTCATACAACTCGGCGAGTCACAGGCTAGTCACATTCATAGAATGAAGATGAACTCGACGAGTTTAAGGACGAACTCGGCGAGCTAGATGAAGATAGTCCCGATGTTATGTTTGAAGGAGAACTCGTCGAGTTCTTGCTAGACTCGACGAGTAGAGTCGGGGTTGGGAATAGATGAAAGAATAGGGACTCGACGAGTTGGTGAACCAACTCGGCGAGTCAGGTCAACTGGGTGTTGACTTTGACCAGGATGTTGACTTTAGCCAGGGGTAAAATGGTCATTTTACCCTAAGAGTAGTTATCGGTTTTTGACTAAGTACCTTTACGGAAATTTTTAGCCGGAGAGTCGTCGGAGCAGCAGACAGAGATTTCCTCACCCGGAGTTGCAGCAGTCAGTCACACGAGGTGAGTTTCCTTCCAGTAGGAACGGGTCTACGGCCACAATGTCGGTCCGTTTAGAGTTTAGTAGTTTCGGACTTCGGTCCAATGCCGGGGGTCAGCCCGATGCAGTTTACATGTTTCCGGACTTCGGTCTGATGTCGGGGTTGTCCTGAGAAGTAGTTATGTATGCTTGATGTCTTCGTGATTCATGCATGTTTATGATATGTTTTATATGTTCCGGACTCCGGTCCGATGCCGGGCAAGCCCGATGTTGTATATGTGATTATGTTATATGTTCATGTTTATGTTATGTTCAGTTTATTCTGGACTTCGGTCCGATGCCGGGCGGGGCCTAAGTTATTCCAGACTTCGGTCCGATGTCGGGCGGGGCCCAATGCAGTGGGCGGGCCCAAGTTATGTCGGACTTCGTTCTGATGTCCGGCGGGGCCCGATGCAATGGGCAAGGCCCGATATATGTTATTGTATGGTATGTGGTAGTTTGGGGGAGCTCACTAAGCTTCATGCTTATAGTTTTTAGTTTTGGTTTCAGGTACTTCAGCTAGCAAAGGGAAGGGCTCGATTTGATGGCATGGCGCACACCTCAGTTTTAATTAGCCTGGGAGCTTACTCTGATATTTTTATATGAGACAGTTATATGTTGACAGATTTTATGAGATTTTGAGATACATGTTGATGATTTAACTTATGGTGATAATATTATGTTTGTTTAATAATTTTAAAAGATAGTATTAGGGACTGATATGACATTAAATCGTAGATTTGAAGAAAAAAATTAGAGTCTGAATGAGATATTATCAAAGACTGGTTTTTTGTCTTTGATACTTAGATCTATTAGGGACTGATTTCCAGTCCCAAATACATAAAAAATTGACAATCTAGGACTAGGTTTCGGGGACTAGCTAGGGACTAGCTAAATCAGTTCCAGATTCTCATCAGAGACCTATTATTGACCATTAGAGACTAATGTCAGTCTTTGATACCGCTTTTTCTTATAGTGACATCCCTTATTTATCCTTATCGAACCCTCTGTCTCTAAGAGAAAGTGTTAATGTATCTCACATCAATATAATCTTAGACTCCACGTATATCTTACATGGTCCTATAAGGTGTATATATATGTTGGAATCCCCCCACTCAGTGAGGGCTCTTATGGAGAGAGACAATCTTGAACTTCACATATATACCTTACAAGACCAATATACACTTTGGGTAAGCTTTTGGAATACAATTAAGAAACCGGATATAGTTATTTCCACATATAGAGAATATGCATGTCCCTCTCGAATAATGCACCACAATGTTCCCAATATATACTCAAGCCACTCTCCTCGTCACATACATACATATACATCGATCAACTCTCTCTCTCTCTCTCTCTTTCTCTCTCTCTCTCTCTCACACACACATACACATACACAAAATATATAAGTATTTCCCCTCCTTTGCTCTTTGAACGCAATTCTACTTAACCGCCCGATATCCCCCAAAATTCGCCTAACGGTTCATGGTCATGTTGTCAGGTACTTGTTAAAGGTCGTTGCCAGCTGATCCGGATCATTACCCATTTACCGGAGCATACTCGGGTAATTTTTGTGGGTTTATTTTTGTAAAGCTTTTGATTATGTAGTTTTGTAATATCGCAAGTATATAGCAAAGCCTATAGCAATGTCACTCCAATTAATTAGTAAAGCTTCTCGAAAGCGTTTTCTTCAATTTTGTATTAAAAAAATAATTTTGAAGTCTATGTAAGTCCCAGTTGCTTTAGTGTCCTTAATGGTTGTGGTAGATTTCTAGATTTAAATGTAATTTATATTATGATTTTGTAGGGTTCAAGGCACGGTATTGTTATAACTTATTAGTCAGAGAATTAGTAAAAATATGTACAAGTGTTAAGCTGTTATCCTCCTTAATAAATGAAAGTTTTTTTTGTCACATGTCAATTTTTCATTAGTTTTGACACTTGTCATTTTATGGTATGTTTTAAATCATTATTATCCACTTGTCAATTTTTGGTTTGTTTCAATTTTTAAAATTAAAGTCATATACTTATATATATGTAAAGTATTAAATATCATATATATGATATTAAATTGCAATAAATACGTTTCTTCCTTTCTTATTTTAAAATTTACTTTAAAAAATATTTTCTGATTACACTTTAATGTTTAATCTTTTTTTTAAATCAACGCGTGTAAGATACAGATCTCACGCCTAGTTATTTAATATAGGACTATATATATATATATGCAGTAAAAGATTTATAAAGTACTTATCAATATAATTGAAAATAATATTATAATTATTGAAGTAGCTATGTTCCATTGGGATGCACGTCTTACAAAACCATAGGTAACCCAAAGCCGGTTTGTATTTATTTTAAAACAGTCCCACACCCCGTCGTGATCATCTCTACAGCTTGTACGCAAGTCTTTATGGGGGTAATATACCTACCTACTAAAAGCGTGTTTATGTATACATGTTAGTATTAACTTTAGACATTACATATATAATAAAGTATAAAACATATTTCTTACTCCAAACATTTAAACAATTAATGTATATACTAGATAAATACACAACTCAAGTCATAATAAAATTATGAAATTAAACTTTACTGCTTTAACATTTTTAGTTAACAAACTACTAATTAATAACATTTTGGATCGAATTCAAATATGCAAAAATTTATATTGCTAATTAATCTGTCATATATCTTTAATGCAACAGAAATATATGTTGTATATCTATTCTCAGTTTCATATATGGAATAGGGTGTGCACAATATTTTTCTTGGCTTCTTTTTCCTTAATAACAAGCTCATTAAATTTAACATGAAATTTTACAACAGAAAGAAAATATATTAAGGCAGCAAGAATGTCAAAATGAAGGACAAGGTCAAGATACATTATAAAACAAGGTCAAAGAATACAAGATTCATTTTGGTAAGGTGCATATGCTGGACAAAGGCTATATAAACCATCAAGAAATCACCACCATCACCATTAACCAACAAACCAAGCAAATAGAAACATTCACCAGATTGAAAATGGCAGGTTCTCATGCATTGGTGATGGCTGTTTTGGTGATGGGAATAGCATTCCATTCCACCCTGATTGATGCAACTATTGCCAAAAGCATGTATTTCAATTGGGGTGCTCACCATTCTTCAATTCTAGGCAATGGTGATGACCTCCGACTTGTTTTGGACCAAACTTCAGGTATACAATATGGATATTAAAGAACGGGATGTTTGATTCCGACTCCGATCTTAATTCTAATTCCAGTTCCAACTTTTACTTACAGGATCAGGCATCCAATCAAAGAGGGCGTTCCTGTTTGGAAGCATTGAGATGCTAATCAAGTTGGTGCCAGGCAACTCTGCTGGAACCGTGACAGCATATTATGTGAGTTCAAGATCCATCATAAAATATAGGGATAATATAAAAAGATAGCAACATACTTTCATCTAGATAGTTATGTATATAACATCCTACTTTCAGTTCTTTCTATTTGAAGATTGTAGCTCAAAAGTATACACAACAATATATAAGGAAAATGACGAAAAAGAAAAAAACCATTATATCTTGGGCACTTTCACCGTTTAACCACTAATGTTATATTTTTTCAATCAAACAATATTAAAAGTTTCAAATATTTTTCCAAATTAAGTATTATGACCTATTATATTAATCATGATGACCGGTTATAATAACAAGTCAAAATGGTTAAATTGGAAAATGTGTAACTTTTTTATACTTTGATAGAAAAAAATTAAGTACAAGTAGTTAAACCTTAAAATTGTCAAAAATGTAATGGTTTTTCTATGATTTCCGTAAAGTATATACAATTATAGAAATGGAAATTGGTTTGTGTATGGATGACAATACCATAATTAGGTTTACTCATCAAAGTACAACGCTATAAAAGAATGAAATATAAGTTTGATGCTACAATAAACAAATCAATGAAAACACGTTATTTCATGCATTTAACTCTAAAAAACAAATGAAGATTGTATAATTTCATAAACAACTCTAAACACAAAGTTGAATAATGATCGCAGTTGTCTTCTACGGGTGCTAAACATGATGAAATCGACTTTGAGTTCTTGGGTAACTCAACAGGAGAACCTTACACAATCCACACAAACATCTACACTCAAGGTCAAGGCAACAAAGAGCAACAGTTCAAATTATGGTTTGACCCAACTTCCGGTTATCATAACTACACCATTCACTGGAATCCTACACAAGTAGTGTAAGTAAAAACCAAATCGAAGTACCGAATTCTACATCTTTAATGATTGTTTAATTGTTATTTTAATATTGTTTATGTATTGCAGATGGTATGTTGATAGCGTGCCTATTCGGGTGTTCAGAAACTATGAGAGTGAAGGGATTGCATACCCAAATCAACAAGGGATGAGAGTTTACTCCGGTTTATGGAACGCTGATAATTGGGCGACTAGAGGTGGACTGGTCAAGATTGACTGGACTTCTGCACCTTTTGTGGCTAGTTATCGTAGGTTTAGAGCAAGAGCTTGTAAGTGGAATGGACCTGTTAGTATTAGTCTGTGTGCTATTCCTCTAGTATTACACTTGTATAAACACAGAATATATCAAAATAACTCTTTGATTTATAATTGGAAATATCACTCAAAAACCAATTGGTTTACACTGTGTTGTGCTGCACTGCACTGCATATTCATAGCTCGATATATGCTGTATATATATATATGTTTATAACATTAAACTAATAAAAAGGAACCCAACATCTTGATGAGTTTCTTTTGCTTTTTCCTGGAATTATGGTGAGTGGGAAATAATGGAGGGAATTGAGATTCCAACAATCACCCCCGAATCTCTAAGTCCTTCTAGAGATTCCCGATCACCGCAAATCTTTAAGTCCTTCTAAAGATGTCTTCAATCCCGATCAAGTCCCGCATTGTCTTGAACTTGGTTCGAGCCAATGGTTTTGTGAGAATGTCTGCCTTTTGTTCTTCACCTGGAATGTACTTCACCTCCACTTGTTCCCTTTCAACACACTTACGAATGAAGTGAAACCTCGTGTGAATGTGTTTGCTTCTTCCGTGAAAAACAGGATTCTTCGTGAGTTCGATAGCTGACTTGTTATCAACTCTTAGGACCACCTTCTCTTGTGCTTTGTTCATGATTTCGCCTAGCAAATCTTGAAGCCATATTGCTTGACATGCAGCCGCAGTTGCAGCCATGAACTCCGCCTCGCAAGATGATAAAGCAACAGTATCTTGCTTTTGAGAACACCATGTTATTGGAGACAACCCATAGTAGAAAATGTGACCGGTTGTGCTTCTTCCGTCGTCCGGGTCGACATTGTGACTACTATCGCTGTAACCAATGATTCGGTTTTGCCCCATCCTCTCGTACTTGATTCCATGTGACGTTGTTCCACGTAAGTACCTTAGGATGTGTTTGATTGCAACACCATGTGATTCTCTTGGATTTTGCATATATCGACTAACAACTCCAACCGCATATGCCATATCGGGTCTTGTCTGCAAGAGATATCTAAGGCATCCTACCAACTTTCGGTATTGTGTCGGGTCGATTTCGGGTTCATCTTCGGCCTTCGACATTTTGGTTCCTGGATCCATGGGAATGTGGGTCGGATTGCAATCGTGTAAACCGGCTTCTTTTAGAATGCGTCTAGCATACGCTTCTTGGTTTATAGTAATCCCTGATTCTTCTTGTTTGACTTCAATGCCCAGGTAGTAAGTTAATCTTCCAAGATCAGACATCTCGAAGTTCTTGGACATTTCAAATTTGAACCTTTTGATCATGCTCAAATTTGTACCTGTGACAAACAAATCATCAACATAGATTGCTAAAATTAGCAAATTGGATCCTTCGTTCTTCCGGTACACCGATGGTTCTTTCATGCACTTATGAAATTTCATTCCTTTCAAAATCCCATCAAGTTTTGTATTCCATGCTCTCGGTGCTTGTCTAAGACCATATAGTGCTTTTGAAAGACGGTACACCTTGTGCTCGTCGCCTTTCCTTATGTAGCCTTCCGGTTGATACACATAGACGGTTTCTTTCAACTCTCCATGTAAGAAAGCCGTCTTGACATCCAAGTGGTGAAGCTCCCATCCATTTGTAGCGGCTAAGGCAATGAGAAACCGTATGGTTTCGATGCGAGCTACCGGAGCAAATACTTCTTGAAAGTCAATACCAGGTTGTTGTACGTACCCTTTAGCAACCAACCTCGCCTTGTGTTTGTTTATGGTGCCATCTGCATTTTTCTTCAGCTTGAACACCCATTTGAGTCCAATGGGCTTCACCCCCATAGGTTTGTTTACGAGAGACCAAGTATTGTTCTTGTTGATTGAATTGATCTCTGTATTCATGGCTTTGACCCATTCTGGTTCTTTCTTCGCCTCTTCAACCGATACCGGCTCGTCATTGGTTGCTAGGAGAAGTTCTTCAATTTCATCAACATAAAGTACATAATCTCGTAATCGAATTGGAAGCACCTTTTGTCTTGTGGGCCTTTGGTTTTGAACATTGTTCACGTTGTTGTTGATCGGACTTGGGTGCTCATTTTCTTGTACCTCCACTCCGTCTTCAATCTCGTGATCCGATTCGTTTGGTTCGTTGTTTACATCGTTTCCTTGGTTGTTGTTTGCCTCATCTTCCGGTAAATCCCATGGTACTATGAATGATCCTGGTTCTTCTTTGTCAGGTGTAGTTTCGTTAACCCAATTCCATCCTTTGGTTTCATTAAAAATAACGTCTCGACTTACGATTATTTTTTGTGTAACCGGGTTAAATAACCGATAGGCTTTTGTACCCGGTTCAGAACCAAGATGAACCAATGGTCTTGATCTTGCATCCAATTTTTTCACGTTTACCGGTTCAACTTTTGCATACGCTAAACACCCAAAGATGCGTACGTTCTCCAAATTAGGTTTTCTTTTATACAACTTCTCGTATGGAGTTGTATCACCAAGTACTCTTGTGTAAACACGGTTGATCAGGTTTGTGGAATGTTTTACCGCTTCTCCCCATAGATAGTTTGGAACATGCATCGCCTTCATGATACTTCGTGTCATGTCCATAAGTGTTCTGTTTCTTCGTTCCACAATACCGTTTTGTTGTGGTGAATATGGGGCGGTAAGATGGCGTTTGATTCCATTCATACCACAAAAGGAATTAAACTCGAGCGAAGTAAACTCACCTCCTCGATCACTTCGAAACACCTTTAAAGACTTTCCGAGCTCATTCTCCGCCAAAGCTTTAAATTTTTTGAAGTGTAAAAACGCCTCAATTTTCTCTTTTAAGAGAAAAATCCACATATATCGTGAAAAATCGTCAATTAGTGTGAAAATGTATCGATTTTGACCCTTCGTTGACGGTGTTATCGGACCACATAAATCACCGTGAACTAGCTCCAATGGCCGTGTTGCTTTGTACGTCGTCATTAATGGAAATGACTTTCTTGTTTGCTTGCCCACCAAACAAGATTCACACAATTGATTTTCACTCTCAAAATGGGGTAACCCTTTGACTAGACCTTTCTTGGACATCCTTTTCATTGACTCGAAATTGATGTGTCCAAGTCTTGCATGCCAGCGCCACGTGTCTTCACTCAGTCTTGTATGAAGGCAAATAGGTACTCCAATAGGCAACTGTATTTTATAAAGGCGATTTGGAGTTCTTTGTACCTTCATTAATAAGCAGTTGTCGGCATCATGCATCGTCAAATAGTTGTCTTTCATCCGAATATCACACCCGGCTTCGGTTGCTTGTCCGAGACTGAAAATATTATTTTTCAAATCCGGAATGAAATAAATCTCCGTTATCAATCGTTGTTGTCCCGATTTTCCTTGGAAAACAATTGAGCCTTTCCCTTTTATTTCGACACACGAATTATCACCGAATTTGACCTTTCCGGTTATTCCTTCGTCGAGTTCGGAGAAAAATGAACGACTTCCCGTCATGTGATTACTTGCCCCGTTGTCCAAATACCACACATCGTTTTCTTGTGAGTTGTATCGAGACGGTATCACCTTCTCTTCGTTCAAAAATACGGACTCGTGTAGAAATACTGTTTCATCGGCATCGTCGTGTTCAGTAAAATTACTTTCTTGGAATTTTTGGGTTCGGTCCGGACATTTGGATGCGTAATGGCCCGATTTATCGCATCTGTAACAAATAATTTTTGACAGATCTTTTTTCGGGTTGCGGTTCGAGTCCGAATTAGAATTGGGCTTGTTTTTGGGCTTATTAGGGTTTTGGGCCGAACTGGGCCGGTTTCCACTTGGGCCTGACCCATTGGGTCCTGCTGACCCGGATCCTCCACCCGACCCGGATCCATTCCGATTAAAGCCCCCCGACTCGGTGCCATTAGAACCCTTCCCCCGTTTTCCCCAATTCGTCTTCCCCGACGATCCAGAACTTCCACCGCCATCACTTCTCCATCCACCACCCGTTCTAGCCATCAACACTCTTTGTTGCCCGTCTCCGCCTTCATCTGGTTTGATTCTTTCTTCATACGCCTTCAGACGCCCTACGACGTCATCGAAGGATACTGTCTTCAAGTCAAGCACTTGCTCGAGGGAGGCAACGATTTGAATGAACCGATGAGGTACCACCGTCAAGAGTTTCTTGACGAGTTTCGTTTCTCCGATGGGTTCTCCCAGTGACGCTGATTTCGAGGCGATTCCAGCGAGCTTTCCGGCGAAAGCGTCTATCGTCTCTGTCTCCTGCATCTTCAGTCGGTCTAGATCGGCGGTGAGAGTTTGAAGTCGGGCCTCTTTTACTCTGTCGGCTCCAACATGTCGAGCCTTAATCGACTCCCAGAGGACCTTCGCTTCATCGACGTCCCCTATCTGCATTATCAAGCTCTCAGGGATTGCTTGATACAACAATCCCATGGCAAGGTAATTCTTTTCATCGTTCTTCTCTTCTCCTGGATCGATTATGGTCCAGGCTTTATGAATTCGAAGTACAACTTTCATACGCAGGGACCATACGATGTAATTTGTGGAATTCAACATCGGGCAAGCCACTGTGGTTGATCCTGTCTCTTTGAGTTTCACCGGAGCCGTACCAGCATCACCACCTTCTCTGTCTGACATCTCTTTTACTGGTGTCCTTCTTGATTACCAGGTATGAGTTCAAGCCCCTGTTCTTGTGAGCTCTGATACCAATTCTAGTATTACACTTGTATAAACACAGAATATATCAAAATAACTCTTTGATTTATAATTGGAAATATCACTCAAAAACCAATTGGTTTACACTGTGTTGTGCTGCACTGCACTGCATATTCATAGCTCGATATATGCTGTATATATATATATATGTTTATAACATTAAACTAATAAAAAGGAACCCAACATCTTGATGAGTTTCTTTTGCTTTTTCCTGGAATTATGGTGAGTGGGAAATAATGGAGGGAATTGAGATTCCAACAATTCCCACCCCAGGAAACTGGTGGATGTCTCCTGTCTACAAGCAATTGAGCAATGGTCAACAGGGTCAACTCAAATGGGTGAGAGACAACTACATGATCTATAACTATTGCACTGATTTTAAGCGGTTTAAAGGCCAGATCCCCCCTGAATGCTCTAAGCCACAATTCTAACCAGAGGAAGATTAATTTCAGGTTTATTTTATTTCAATATATTGAGATTCTTTCATTGCGTTATGGTCACTTTTTTTCTTTTGTATTCCTCATATATTTGTTCCCAAAAAATGTACTTATCATATTGATGAAACTATTATTTATTGTATTCTTTATTAGTGTATAAGATTTTTGTTTACATCAACTATAGACTCTTTTAAGCATCTGATGATTCTAGTTTACATCAACTATTGGAACTATTTATGAGTTGGTAATAGGCAGGACGATGCTGGAGGATTATTTTACCACAATCGAACATGTTTGAAGTTTCTAAAGATGAAACAACACAAGTTAAATGAATGGGAAGGTGTGCGGAGCCTATGGTACCCAACGAAACAACTAATGGAAGCTAAAATAAATAATATGCTTTAGACAATTGCCTCAAGTATTTACACGAGCCGCTATTGTGAACCCAACTATAGATTTTTCCTTGTCGAAATTTAAATAATTGACATAGCGAATGCCTTAGAATAAACCCAAGAAGGCCCCTCATTTGCACCAACTGCAAATACGACAATTCTAAAATAGGTCTACAATATCATTTGATGTTTATAACCACAGAACAAATAAGAATATACACGACGTTAATTTTGAGGAATGGAGCATC